AATCGCGTGACAGAAATGGTCGGGCCGCAGGCCCGACCATCGCCGCCGGCAGGCCAAGCAGGCCCGGCCCCTGCCGAACGGAGTTGCCGGCGCAGCGAAGCGAAGCTGGCAACTTCGTTTGGCGGAAGGGCGGGCCTGCTTGTTTTAAATACTTTGCTTTCTTGCAAACTTTGCTAGAACTCCTAGGATTTGTGGCAAAAAACTAGTGATATCTGGTTTCCCAATTGGAGCCATCGCTCACCTCCTAGGCTTATATCGAGGCTTATATCGCTGCCTGGGTGATCTACTAGAACGTTGGGAAAAATAGGTACTAGTAACCAGTCTGCCCCAATTGGGGCAATGGATTGCTACATAGCTATATGCCCCAAAGTGACAGTCGGGGAAGGTCTGATTGCCCCAATTGGTGACTGAATCTCTGCTTGGTTTATTTACACCAATTGGTGCAAACAGCTTATGCAATAATTTCTCTCCCAATTGGGGCATATACTATTAATCATCTTTTTTAACGTTAACTCGAAAATCGTTCGAAGTTTTTGGGAAATATTTCAACTAACCGAAAAGAAATAAGTTTTTTCCCTTTATTCCTGAATTTTCGTTAAAGTTAAGTTATGTTAAGTTTGCCCACCCTGTAAAGAAGTCGGGTAACGTGGAGATCCCGAGGACAAAACATGGACATGGACTGGATAAGATATTAACGTAATATGAACATCGAGTACGGGCCATGTTTTTTTGGCCATAGTGTGGACACCGCAGAAGGGCATAAGACACCAAAAGTCCATTGCAAGGACTAACAAAGCGGACATAAGGCCATACGGAGGACATCAGTGTAGGCCATACGACATACAAAGCTCTTCCGAGGACTGCCCCAATAGACAATAGACATAAGGTCAAAAAAAGGTCATACGAGGGATACATGCTCGGACATTGTACATGGTATTGCCATAATTAAGACTTATTTTGGACATGTCGGGCATGGCATGTATATACGAAGACATAAAAGTCATGTCATTTCCATGTCTTTCGGCTCGTTTGGGCTGGTTATTGAAGTTCTGGTAGTTCTGACATCTACCTCTACTTTGACTTCCTCCGCGGCCGCCCCTGTTGCCACTTCCTCTTCCTCTGGGTTGATAGTTGTTCCCCTAGTAATTGCTTACTTGATAGTTGGGATTCTGATTTTAGTTTGCAGAATTCTGGGCGGCTGTCTTGCCAGTAAAGAGGGCCCCGGCAGGTTCTACTTCAGGTTCTAGGTGCATAGACTTCTTTTCAACCAACAGTTTGCTCTTGGTATCTTGAATGTTCAAATTTCCACCAACTCTCATGGAACGGACGAGTGCGCCATACTGGTCGAGGGGCAAACGTGCGATAAAAAAACGCTAATCATTTGGTCAGTGAATTGAACGCCTCCTCTTGCGAGTTTGGAGCAGAAGTCCGGGACCTTCCAGATATACTGGCTAATGCTCATCTCGGGCGGCTTCTCGAAGCGCCCCAGCTGCTTGATGAGCATTACTCTGTGCATGAGTGTCTGCCTCCTGTGGATACGTGAGAGTATTCAACATGCCACTCGCTCTACTGAAATTCTTCACAACATTAAAGATATCCTCACTCACATGTTTGATTATGTATGCACGAGCCTTCTGATTTGCCTTGGTCTCGGCAGCGGTTAGAACTTAGCACCTTCTCCGAAACCGGAGTTGACAGCCTTCCACACATCCAACTCAGTGAGGTCGGCTTCCACCTTTAGCGTCCATGTGTCGTAATTGTCTTGATTCAAGATGTTAAACACGCCTCCCAGTACTTGAAGAAGTTCTTCGTTGGCTTCGGACATGGTAGCAGAAAAAGAGCACGTTTCTAACATGGTTAACTTGCACTTATAGATTCTCAAGTTTCAGCGACCTGGGCCCATAACCCTGTAGATTTCAGGTATGGGGCGTGTCCAGGATTAAAGTAGAGAGGTAGATTAACTTCAACGACTGTTATTGTACGACTGACAACGACAGGGTTTCCACTGAAAACTGACGATACAACCATGCTCTAGCAGACACGTAAACTTTCAAGAAGAACAAGATGTGACAAAGTGGCGCCAACTGACAAGTGACCAACTACGACGTATGCCTGCAGAAGTGGCGTATCTGTGAAGAGGCGCGCAACACTGGCGGATCTGCACCAGCCCGTCCAACCCTGGCGGATCTGCGCCGGCCCGGCCAACACTGGCGTGTCTGCTTTCCGGTTGATCTGCTCGCAGTCAACTTTGGAGGCGTATTGCTCATTGTAGGTATATCGTATAGTGTTGAGTGATATCAAAACTCAATCACGAGGATATGAACATTGCAATGAGACATCAGTCAATACTGTACGACATACCTACGGTGAGCAATAGGCCTCCGAAGTTGACTGAGAAGATCAGCCGAAATGCAGATACGCCTGTGATGACCGTCCCCTCCCAGATTCGCCAGTATTGCGCGCCTCTTCACAGATACGCCACTTATGCAGGCACACGTCGTGTAGAATAATGATATATAAATCCTACAACATTCAACACAACTCACCATCTATCAGGTATTCCTGCTCGAGGAGGTCAGGTGGTCGAAGATGTCCATGGCAAGCCAGTATATACTATTCTGGGGAGTCACTAGGCCGAATAAAAACTCTACAAAAGTTTTACCTGTGTTTGAGTATTAGTCAGACTCCTATGAAACAAACACTATAGAGTTTATGTTTGGTCGCTTTCTGACAAAATGTGGTCCTCTTCCTGGTTCAAAGACTTCATATCCTAAAGATGATTGTGTTGGATAAAAGTTGGGCCATAGTTCATGCTGCCATCCACAAGTTCTCTCCAGGACTCACCATAAGCACTTACCTTTTCAAGTCATGTGAAGAAAATGCACCATTTCCCCACACAATTACACCTGTGTGGTGCTTATGAGGCACACCTCGTAGCAACATGGGTCGGAAGAACAGCTCAAGTAAAGAAGTGAATCTATTGCCCAGGAGGTCTTTCAGGGCCATCATGATGTCCAGGGACTTGTTAGAGGTTGCTTTAAGAATTGTTCGTAGTATGGTGTCTGTCTTTAACAAACTTGAAGAATGCCCAGAGGATATGTAAAAGCTGCGTGACAATCTGTTTAAAAATTTGGACCCAAATCAGGAACTTTTGAATATCGAGACACCAGCCAATGTCCTTTCGAAGCCAGAAGATTCTAAAGGAGGTATAGAAAGAATGACAGTGATTCTTTACAGTTCCTCTGTGTATTACAACAAATTCCGGGAAGTGGTTAATGAATCAGAAGTTATAGAACTTTCTGAAGAGGACACAAAGAATCCTTTTTTCATTAAAGGTTTTATAAACTACCTGCTCAAGAACCACTTGCCGTACTAACCCACTATTTTCACAAACTCTGGTGGTAGATTATGCCAACCCCGAGTGTAAATTGGTAACACATACGGCTATTGAAGGTTGGTTTGGAGTAAACAACTAATTTGTTCTAAATGATCGCCTCAGATTAAAGCGCGCTGAGAGTGCAAAACCGAAGTTTGGCTCAGCGACCTAGAGACTTAAGATATGACACTGAGTTCAGGAAATGTAAGACCATAGGAACAAAAACTAATGCTGCTTCAATAACTAGGAAGAAGAGCCGGAAGGCGTTTTTAGGGACCCTCACTGAGTTGGGCACCTCCCCCCGCCAGCGGCCCCGGGTGGCCTCTGATTGGTCGGGGCGCTGGCGGCCGCAGAGCTGTGTCGGAATCGGGATCGGGCGGCAAATACAGATCGCATGCAACGCAACTAAACGCACAGATCTTGCTTTCACTAACATTTTTCGTAGATATTTTAATAAAGTTTGGTTCTGAGCCACTGATTTTTCGTAGATATTTTAATAAAGTTTGGTTCTGAGCCACTGAAGGTCTAGAGATGGAATTTGGGGGTATAGTTTTGAAAGCAGAGTATGGCTTATTATTAACTCATTAATATCAGAACGCCATGAGCTTTAGTTACAAGAGGTCCAAAGTATGCAGTTCTATTTTTAACGCACGCCCCACTTTCGAAGTTAATGCATTGGATTTCCTCAGAACAGTTCGTGATAAAAGGCTGGTTGATAGCTTGTTTCATTCAGTTCTTCGAGGACTACAGATTGACACATGGCTTTTACTGAATTTAACAAAATAAAAATTATGTTCGCTAAAAAGTTTTTTAAAGATTTTGTTTGGGAGAGATATTCCATAAAATTAGGAAGTACACACTTGGGACCTTATTTGAGACACCAAAAAAGAGAAGTTGTCTTTCAAAAGTGTTGCCACGCATGTTGACAAATTTGTTTCCATAGTAGTTAGTGATATCTATCCAGTCTGCCGTTAACCTTGATGTCAACTTACAGCATGTCAACTTACAGCCATTCGCCAAATGGCAGAGTGGTAAAGACAATAAAATAAACTACAAATTCTCAAATGGTGTTCTTTAATTGTTCTAAAATTCACAGAGAGAGTCTTTGATTCTTGAACTTTTTCTGAGACTTGACATCAAAATCTTCATCAGAGTTATGAGGATCTGATCTATTTCCTTGAGACTGCAAAGAAATAATATTCTTTTAAAAAAGGAAGTGGTGGTTCAAGAAAATGTTACGTACATAATAATGCACAACTCACCATATCATGTTTTCTTTTGACAATTGTAACTTTCTTTGTATTTTCAGTGGAGGTGGGATTTTTTTCCCCCTTAACTGCTGAACTGAGAACAGTTACTTGCCTGTTAATAAAAATTTTGCACCAGTTTAAAAAAAAACATTTAGTTTACAACAAAGGGTTATTTGACAAGATATGCTCACCTTTTATTGAACTTATCCTGTAGTTCTTTGTTAATTCTCAATTGGTTTTCATATTTTTCTTTCCACTTTTTTATCTTTACCTGCAACTCTTCGTTGATTGCCATCTGCTCTTTATGTTTGTTTTTCCACTCTATTTTAATGGCTGCCTCGCTTTCATATTTTTTCCCCCACTGTTCATTGTTTTTAATTTCTTTATCGCAGCTTTCCTTCAACTCGTTAATAATTGCAGTTTGATTCTCACATCTTTCTTTCAAAATTTCAATTTCTCTTGACTTATTTTCTAGTGCTTCAAAATTATTTTCTTGCTAAAAATTAATTTAGAAAGTTAAATTTCTACCTGGCTAAAAGAAAAAGACACAATTGACAGTTGTACTCACCTGTTTTAGTAGAGTATAAGAGGTCTCTACAGTGCCAATAATAGGTTTCAAAATATTGTGGTTCTGTTCAGTGAGCTCAGCACAGCGTTTCATTTGTTTTTGACACTCTGCTTGCGCTTTGCAGCAGGAAGGACAAATCCAATTCATGTTAGACCAATCTCCTGATGGGGAAAGCAAACATAAGCAGCGTCCATAAGACAAAGAGAAAATACAACTGAGTGCTCACTAAGACACTAAGTCTCTTACCCTCTTTGACACCGACACATCTACCATGATACCACATGGGACAATGATCACAATTAATCATGAACCTGTGCCGCAACAAAAGGAGCAATGAGTTAGTTTATTCATCAAACGATCATACCATGGTAAACATGCGTAACATGTAGTAAAAGAAAGCTAAACACTAAATAGGTGAATAGAAGTACTTCGGAAATAGTAAAGTAGGTGGAGATAAAAAAACAAAACGGAGATAGCCCTTAAATCAAACTAAGTTGCATTCCCTTCGCATCTACATATGGGATTCCCCTAGTTTTTACCTAATCTCACCACTTCAACACCCACCCGAGCCCAAAGAGGTGGGTGACAAGGGCGAAGCTTTCGGACGGCGACAGACAGATCTAACATTGCACAACTACAGGAAATGGGAGCAGATAAGCCGTGGGTCCAAAAGAAACTTAATGAAAGAACTTAACCTAACCAAACACGCGGAGGCTCACGTCACACCCACTAGTTGCTCGGCGCAAGAGCAGAAATAAGCAAGCTTATCTTATTTATAAATGGATTGCAGTCCTATGACAACAAAAAATTGTTACATTCTCCATATTCCCCCTGGCCGTCTCTCTAAGAAATTGGCAAGATACATTACATGAATTTTAGGGAAAACTTGTTATTCCATCATCTCACTTACTCCTTTCCATCCCAAGGTTTTTGACACAAACAGTACAATTTTTTCTCTCTCATGTTGAAAGTTTCCAGCGACTTTCAGAGTTAGAGTAACAGTCAGAGAGTTTTAGACATCAACTTAAAGCAAAGCTAAGGTTAGAACTTAGAATTGAGCAGAGCACACTAACACTGGCACACAACCCACATCCACTCACACACACACACACACTAGAATATCAAGTGATGATGTCAATTGACAAACAGGGCTGAAACCAACAGCAAAAATCATACAAGCTTACATTTGCCTTACCAAAAATTTTAGGAAAGAAAAAAAAGCAGACAATAATAATAAACTACATTCCTCAGGTAAATAGTAATTACCATATATTACTGATAAAAGATACATGATAACAAATTTTTTAGAGGGATTATATTGGCGTTAGTGAAAGACAGCGGAAGTCTAGAATTTTGGAGGGTAAATGCATTCAAGGGCCTTTGTAACGTGACAAGTGTACAAATGAATTGAAGAGAAAATGGATATTTCAGAGGAAATTGGGGGATACGCAACTAAACGAGTAGACAAAAAAGATAAAGAAAATGAAGCTGTGTATAGAGTGGCCGTGGAAAAAAAAGAAGACATTGATTTGTGGCTACGAGACTACAGTAAGAGAACCTTCACAGAATGGGTTGTGAAGCAAACTTTTCCAAGAGCAGACAGGTATTTGCAAAGCACTGCAATTATCATTAAAGTAGGTAATTGAGTTCAATTTGCAAAACTCTTTTTGAATAATTTTTTTCTACATCTTAATAGGGTAGCATATCACAAACAGTACTTGTGTGCGTTTAGCAAGAAAAACAAAATACGGCTTGAGGGGGAAAGTTATCGTAACTACAACTGTACTGCCAAATTAGACATCAAGATAAAGAAGCTAACTAAAGACACAAAGAAAAAGGACCCCTATCTGAGAGGACAGACTCCTTTTTGTGGTGTTGTCACTGTGACTGATATCCATAATCATCATAAAAATGTGTCATCTATTACCCAGTTCTTTAGACCTGAAGAAAAACTGAGAGCTCAGTTTGAAACGTACTTTCAAGAAGGAACATCCCCAGCAGCAGCCCTTAGTCTTCATGAGTCTAAGTTGTTGGGACAACCAAATGGACTGCGACTTTTGGCAGATTCACATTACATGCCACAATCTACATCGGTCTATTGGTGGCACAGAGTTTTTCTCTTGCTCAATTATGGACCAATCAATAGCCCCCTGGAAACATTGCAACAAAAAATTGAAATGTATAAAGAAAAAGGTAAAATATAAAATCACTTAAGTTTTAAAGCCTAATTACTTTAAAAAATCTTAAAAAAGATTCATTACCTTTTCAACAGGAACAACAGTGAAAGTTCTTGCTGATAGTCCATGGGCAGTAGTTGTGGCAACACCAGTCATGAAGCGTGCCCAGTCTCTAGCTTGCTCAAGTCGCATTATTTTTGTTGACACATCTGCCTCTTGTGACTCAATGAGCACCAATGTCACACTCATGTTAACTGCAACGAAAGCAGGTGCTATACCAATTGGAATTCTATTACATGAGGCACAAACTACAGAAAGCTATGAGAGGGCATTTAGTCTGTTCAAAGAAACTTTTCCAAATGCCTTTGGAGGCAAAGAAGTAAGTGTGTAGAGAAATAGAAAAATTATACCATAGGAGCATTTTATCACTTTCTTTCTCTTTAAATGTTTTTAAAATATGTAAATAAATGTAATTCTTATTATTTTTCCATTTCAGTATCCACAAGTTTTTATGACAGACAACTCTGTCCCAGAGAAAAGTGCAATTCATGCCAACTGGCCCCAATCAATACAACTGCTCTGTGCTTTCCACGTTGGTCATGCTGAATGGCTATGGCTGCAAACAAAATATGATCAGAAAAGTAGACAGCCACTGATGCAAGGATTTCGGAAGGTAAATAAATATTAAATAAGAGATGTGATTAGTGATCGTGCATTCAAAATTAAACCATTGTTTGTTTGTACTCTACAACAGATTCACTACAGCAAATCTTGCGAGGAGCTGGAGGCAGGAATTGAAGATTTGAAAAGTATGAGTTTGGACTACTATGAAGACAGAGTGTCTGGCTTGCTTGAATCAAAGGAACAGTGGGTATATCTCTTTCGAAACCATTTACAAATTGGAGGACATCATACCAACAACTATGCAGAAGCCTCAGTTCGAATTTTAAAAGATGTGATCTTGCAACGTACTAAGGCATTCAATGCAGTCGCTCTTTTTGATTATATCTCTGAGACTTGGGACACTTACCTCACAACCAAACTATGCAGATTTGCCTATAAGAGGAATAGGAAGCCAATTCTTCTCTACAATGACTTGGTGCAACGAATGCCTGCAGAGCTTGCAGATAAAATTATTGTAATTGATGAAGACACATATCATGTGCCAAGTTCTGTCACTGGAGAGGCCACATACGAAGTAGTTGCTAGTGCTGGATCATGCATGTGCAAAGCTGGTGCAGCTGGGGCTTTCTGTAAGCATCAAGCATTAGTTCATGAAAAGTTCAACTGTATGTTTCCCAACCAGCCCCTAATCACATCTGCTGACCGTTACCTTATGGGATTGTTGGCTATGGGAAGTGAGTGTCCGGAAAAGGAGTTTTTCCTCGACCCTAAAGAGCCACTGGAAAATCTTGAGAGAGACCTGCAACTCATCAATCAACAGGAAGAGTTAATCCAACTACAGATGGGAAGTGATGAAGTACTCCCATCAAATGAGGCTCCAACTGCTCCACTACAAAACCATGGAAGTGGCGATGAAAATGATGATGGAGATGGCGAGGAAGTTTTTAAAACCTTTGTTGAGAATTGGGAAAGAGTGTTCACACTTGGAACGGAGACAAACAAAAAAGGTTTCCTAAAATTTATGAAAAGAGCAAATAATGCACTGTCAAAAGTGAAGAACAGCAACAAGGCATTTGAAGGCATGATGAGGAC